AGGTTATTAAGTGCTACTCACGGCCCTAATTAAAATTGAGCTAAAACACGGTAAGTAAAACCAACATCACATGTTACAACTCAACAAATAACATTAAGTATTTGGGAATATATCTGCGATGGGAAGAACAGATTAACTATATTATAAAAAAGCTAAGATTTGTCTTATATAAATTTAAAAACCTTTCCACTTTCCTCCATGTGAGGTATTTAAAAATTCTTTACTATGCATTAGTTGAAAGTCATAAGGTATAATAGCATGGGGTGTAGCAGGTGCCACATTAATTAATAACTTGCAGAAAATGCAAAACAGTGTATTAAGAACAATATTTCATCAACCTACAACTCACCCAAAAATAGATCTTTATCGAGAAGCTGGAGTATTAAATATTTACCAAATATTTGCAAAAATGCTCAACTCCATTTGCTTTTAAACTAGTAAATATTTCAAAACACGGTTGCCTTCTTTCTGGATATCTAACAAGAAAACAACTTAAATGATAATTGATATTTACATATCAATAATAGCATACTTAGCTTTGGAAATATAATTCCGAATCTTGTTCAGAATTTTCATTACTCTGTATCAAACATACCAGCATATCATATTTTTCATAATTTTCATACGATACCATTATTCTAAGAAATTGATAGATATCAATTAAATAGAAATACCAAAAGAACAAAAATAAACTGCTTTATAAACCAAAACTCGATGCAAAAACGGATATGATAGACAAATATGTGACATTTATGTTTGTTTCTTGTCATAAACAATATCAATCACCTACTTTTAAATTATGCATTTAACTTTAGAAAATTGTCATTTATTTGCGTATTACTGAGAAAAAGTGTATACTGTTATATATTTTTGAAAAGGTAAAAAACAGACAAATTTATGGTCTATAAATATAAAGGGTGTTCTATTTAAAAATAAAAATAAGTTTGCTTTATAACTAAAAAATTTTAAATATGTAACAAAAATTATCTACATCACTGCATTTTACGGAAAAAATCTATAAGAATGGTATTTTACCTTTTTGATAGGTTAACGGAGATACAAAAGGGTCCCAAATGCAACATTTTCAACAGTGACTTAAACTTAAAATCTTAAAAACTAAAAGGGCTATAAAATGTTGTTAATGCCATCTTTAGTTTTACGAAAAAGTAGAAAAATTTCGCGAAAACCGCAACCCTGTAACCTTAAAAATAACGGAGACACACTTCAAAAGTACCTTAAATGGGATATTCTGTAAAAAGAATTATATTTTAATGACTCTAGAAGGTGTGGAAAAATTCTACTACATATTGCTAAGGCATAAATATGACGATCTAACCCAACTTACTTCAGTCCAAAAGTGGACCATTTCGAAAATAAATAAAAGTTCTATTTGGTTTTAGTTTTTCATTAATATTTTTTTTAATAATTAGTCTATTTTCACAATAGTTGGTTAGAGGAAGTTCCCAAAGTCTTTTACCTTAATAGGTATAAGTGATAAGAGTTGATTTTAGCAGGCGATGTTAAATAACTCGATTTAAAAAATTCGCGTACTTTAAATTTTATAATAAAAATGAGAGGCGGTTTTAATTGTTCATCCCAAAAATCCCCCCTAGCCAAATATTGTGAAAATAGACCAATTATTAAAAAATTTTTTTACGAGAAACACCCTGTATTTCCGAAATCATCCTCTTTTGGACTAAAATAAGTTAGGCTAGATCATCAGGTTAGATCATCAGGAATATATGGAAGCATTTTTTCCTTACCTGTTTTCTCTATTCTGTTCTAATAATTTAATATTCAGTTTCGCAAATATGAGAGAATTAAATTGAGCTGCCTGTTTCATATGCCTACTGTTTGTTCTCAATTAAAAAAAAAACTATTTGAGGCATTTGTAAATTGATGAATATATTAAAATTAGTATGCAAAAGTTATTATCTTTTCCTTTTAATATCATAATAATTAGTTACATCCATGATGACTTTCTTTCGAGTTATGATAATTGGAAATAGTATTTGCATATATAATTTTAATGATTATTTAAATTAGTACTTGAATTAAATTTTGCCGGTTCTGTAAGTCGTACAATAATAATTATGGAAGTATTTATGAAGTGGAATCCATTTACTATAGTAAAAAGTAAAATTTGTTTGCTTTAAGAACAGGCCAAGCACGTCATTAACACGCCAGCTCACTACCGTTGGATTGCAAAACAAATTCATTTGTTGACTACGATTCTCATGTTTTTTTTTTGATAATTCAATATTTAACTTCATGAGGATTGAAGAGTGAAAGGGATATATTAGTGTGTAAAAAATTTAAATGTTTAATAAAAAATAGGCTAAACGCTTAAGGATTTACAAAGTCAAGAGCAATAAAAGAGGAGTGCAGTAAAAGTGGAGATAAAACGTCACATTCTAATTGGCGTACTTTGCAAAATAAGTTTCTATTATATAAATAAGGTCACGGCGTATAAAATGGTATATACGGACTTTGTAGATTAAATTTTGAATGAAAAAAGTTATATTTACAAACCATAAAAATAAACATTTTGCTTCTGACAAAATTGTTGTACTTTAACATTGAGCAAATTAAAAACCAATAAATAACAAGAAGGATTATATATTGTTAATGAGAATAAACTTTAAATCTCTAAGCATTCAATGTGACAGTTGAGTACCCATAATCAAAGATTAAAAAAAATAAAAAATTCAAGAACTATTTTTAAAAGTCACTGTCTTCACTATAACTACTGGTATCATTATCATTGTCTTCTCTGAGATTTATGCCCAGTTTTTTTATCTCTAAGTAAAGTTGAAAGTAGCTACTTGCTGATTAAGGGCCGATCTTTTCATCTCAGAGTAAAGTTACATGTAGGTTTACTTGACAGATTAACAAACAATAGCCCTATAGTTAAATCAGCAAGTAGTTACTTTCAACTTTACTTAGAGGTGAAAAGACTGGTCCCAAACTATACAGCTATTGTTTGTTAATCTGTCAAGTAAACTTACATGTAACTTTACTCAGACGTGAAAAAATCGACCCTTATTATTATAGGGTCTATTAAGTGCTTTATTGCTATATCCATTTACCAAAATGAATTGTTCTCCTTTTTAACATTATCAATGCATTTTTTCCAATTTTCTCCAGTTACATCTGAAACTTTCTTCAAATACAAATTTCGCACATCAGATAATTTAAATGGCATATTGTTTCGAGAAACATAACTTTTTGACCAGATCAGTTCAATGAAATTTAACTCTGCATAGCAAGGAGACAATCTGAGAATTTATATTCCTTCTTCTTGAGCCATCTTGTCTATAATATATTTTTTTAATTTGTTTTTTGTTATTATTTCTGCCTTTAAGGATTTAGGAGAACCGACAATATTTTTAGAATAAAACCATTTTGAAAGATCTTCTTTTTTCCATGTTGTTGTAGGTAGTGACTTATTAATTCGACTGTGATAGGATGCATTATCCAAAGCATTATAAAATCTTAAGTTAAAACAATCAAGCGACGTTAAAAGCACTCAGTTCCATGCAGGTACACTCAAAGCTTGTATGGGACTGTTTGGAAGCCTTAACAGAGCTGGGTAGTCAAAACAGACTAACCTTAGCCTGGATACCAGACCACAGAGGACATAAGGGCAATAAAGAGGCTGATTTACTAGCCCGAGAAGGAGCCTCAAATGCTCTTATTGGCCCAGAACCCTTCTTTAGTGTAACAAAAACAACTATCAGAATATGTAAAAAACAGTGAATGTCTAAAAAATCTCAGTAGTGGCGGATAAACTCAATAGGACAGACAGGCCAACGAGTTCTTAAACTCACCGAGCATCTACTAAGCCTTAATAGGAAAAATACTAGAGTACTAGTAGGTCTATTAACAAACATATGTATAATATCGTTCTTATAGAAGAGACCTTGTGCCGATTCTGTCAGGAAGAGGAGGAAACGGCAGAATACGTATTGTCTAGCAAGACTGAGATTCCTTACGCTTGGAGATGAAAAACCAAGGGCAACTAGCTATATCGGAGAACTACTTCCCAGTATATGGAGTCTAGTACAAAAGACCTAATTAGACACGTTACTCTCTAAACAACGATTAAAATATATCCACAATAGATCTGAAAAGGTCGAGGTGGGGGAGGCCACAAGGCCCAAAGTCCTAATTAAATCTAATCTAGGGTAGAACATTAATAGGCCTTCGTTTTGTGGCCAAACGTATGAAATTGTGGTAACTGCTGTGAAGAGTATCTAAAAAATACGAAAACTAAATGTTTATCATGCATTATTTTGTCCACTTTTTGGTTTATAGTATCCACCTCAAGAGGATCTAGATATAGTATACTAAAACTTTCTAGTACCTAATTTACCTAACCCAGGAGTTGTAAACACATTAACGCACATTAACTTGCACCACTATAAAATATTATTAAAAAAAATTTGTCTTGTTTTACAATGCGTTGTGAAGAAACGATAAAATAGAAAATTATAACGAGTGTCATGTCACATGGCCTCTACGAGCCATCTAGTTGGCCGAATCGGAGATTTCCGTCTTTGATATTATACTGGTACTGGAGATTGCCGTATTTGATTGTTAGCCTAAGTTTTCCTAGAATTTTATAAGGGGATATTGATGCTTTTAATACTCTTATTCGCTATTTTTTTACAAAGAGCGAAATTACAAACAATTTGACGTATATAACTAAATTTTGTCACAAATTACTCAAATATATTATAGTTTCGTCTTTTTGCTGGTGGTGGCATATCGCTTATTGTCAGATCCTTATATGTATCATTTAAATATTAAAAAAGGTTATAAAGATGACAAAAAAATTATTTATTTTAATTTATGAATGCTTGGAAGAAGATCGCATTGAGTCGCTGGCACTTTCGTTGCTAATCGACGTAAATAGATAAATCTTGTTTTCTAAGCATATCGTCATCTATGATATCTCTGTACTTTAATCAGACGTACTTTATTTCTTTATTTTTTAGGTGCATTATGTACAATATATTTATGCGAATGGAAATCGGTATTACAGTACGTCCCATTTTATGGAGGTAAATATGACAAAAAAGAAGATTAGAGTTTATATGCGAAATTAATAATCTACCAAATATGTAAATATAGTCCAGGATCCGTAAGAAAGGTCGACCTTCACCAATCTATTTAGTGAATAAAAGTTTATTTCTTATTATTAAATAAAATATGTTTTTAAATATACCGCAAATGGGTTACCTAAGAAAATATGGTCGTTTTTACTTTTCTTTTTGAGTACAGATAAAAAATTCATAGGAATCATAATAAAAGTTACTTACTTTATTATTTTGTCGCTTTACATGATTTCCCTAAAATATACCTAATTCAAGATATTTAAAGAAAAGTGAAAATTTCGAATTTTGAAGATAACTCAAAAACGGATGAAGAAAAAAACACCAAATTTTAAACTTAGGCTATTCTGCGGTGAGCTGATTGAAGTTTGGGCATGATCGAAGAATCTGGGGAATACTTTACAAGGTGTCGTTTTTTTTATTTTTATAAAATAAATAGTCTGGGCCGTTTTTTTTAGTCAAACCATTTGCGGTATATTTATAAACATATTTTATTTAATAAACAGAAGTTTTCATCCATTAAACAGATGGGTGAAGGTCGACCTTACTTTGGATCTTAGACCAATAAGCCATAATAAATACAATTTAAAAACGTTACTTTTCATTGTTTACTCTCCTTTCTAAATATCTTTAAGACCGCAGTATCACTGTATTTTTCATATAAGAAGCAAGGGTTTACCATTTCCGATTGCATTTAAATCCCGCTAAATATAATAAAATTAATCTTCTACCAGCTTAAAGTATAGGGTTTGGAGAATGAAATCTGCTATTTTTTATTTGTTCTGTTCATACACTGAATTTAAAAAAAAATCACAAAGTGATTTTAAAGCCACCGATAAAAAGTAGGAGATTTCATTCTAAATATTTTTCCAAGTATCCCGCCAAAATATTTCTAAATTTCAAATATAAGTGGAAATAAGATTAACAAATATTTGATAAATTTATTTTCTATTAGTTCCTGTAATTGTGTAGTTCATCTATTTTTAAGAAGATATCATAAAAACAATATAGCTACTCTGTTTTAGAGATGGTTTTAATAGGTGAATGATTGTTTAGAGGTACCATTTTTTAAATTAGTGATACAGATGTATGCCGTCTTTTAATGTTTCGTGATTTTCATATATATTTGTCTCGCTTGGTTCCAACTACAAAATTATCGATTTATTTCCCCTGTGTATGAACACGTGTTGGCCACGTTGCTAGATTATCGATTTATACGATAATTTCACAATTCTTTCTAGGACGAATTTTATTTTAAAGTGGGTGAAATATACAATGGTGAATGTTATTTTATCTTTATAAGAAATCTTATTTCTGAATTAACACGTTGACTGCTATGTGTATATACCCATGTGTATGTCCCATTAGTGCGTAATTGTTCAATATTTTAATTTGTGTTAAAGACACGCAAACACGTTTTAAAGAAAAGTTATATGGATTTGAAAAATACATATTTTAAAAATATTTTTGGATATACAGGGTGTTACATTTTTTCCTGACATATGTTTAAAATAGAACCATTTTATTTCAATTTTAGAATGGTTTGGTTATACCGTATTCAACCCTAGAATAATTTTAAAAAATATTACAGGTCTGTCAAGCAATTAAATTTTTATGAAATTAGAGAATGATGCAGACCCCAAATTTAATTATCATAATTTAGGTAAGATTGCATTGATTTCAAAATTGTTTTTATACTGACTTATAGCACATTAAGATAACGAATAGTAGTAATAATGCTGGATTCTTTTATAGCAAGTGTTCTGAAACATGTCTTAAATACGGTTACATTTAAGTTCAAATTACTCAATTTTTTCAAAGGCAGCACCCGGTATATTATTTAAGCATATTTGAAATTTGCATATCCAACGATACCAACATGTCAGAGAATAAAATATATACAGAGTGTCCCATCAGTGCGCAATTGATCGATAACTGTTTTATTATTGGAAATAAGAAAAAAATAATATAAAAGTTGTATGACCATATTTAAAACTTATTCCTATACATACAAGGTGGTCCATAAACGAGATGTTGACCAAACCTATACATTTTTAAAGCAAACCACCCTGCAGGTAGTATACATATTTGATTGTTTACACGTCGTCAACACGCGAGCTTACAAATGTTTAAATTTTTTTCAATGGGATATTAATTAATTGGTGGCATAAAATACAGGGTGTTCTAATTAGAAAATTGAGAATATCGTAACCATTTTGACACACCCCATATACAACATAGCAAATTAATGAAATTAAAATTTATATTCGACGATGTGAAAACAATTAAATATGTATAACTACCTGCAGGGTGTTTTGCTTTAAAAATGTATAGGTTTGGTCAGACAATCGTTTATGGACTACCCTGTATATTTATGAATAATTATTAAATATGGTCATAAAACTTTTATATTATTTATTTTCGTATTTCCTATTATAAAACTGCTATCAATCAATTACGCACTCATGGGACACCCTGTATATGTGGTATTTACTAAAATATTAGTATGGTTGGATATGTAAATTTATAAGGAATTGTATGCTTAAATAATATACAGGGTGTGGCATTTGAAAAAAAAAATTTAACTTGGAATTAGCCATCCTTAAGACTTGTTTTTCTAAACACTCTGTATAAAATATTCCAGTTCTATCACCACTATTCGTTAGCTTAGTATATTATTACTACATTTAAAAAAACATTTAAATTATTGTAAACTTACCTAAAATTATGATAATTTAATTTGTGGTCTGCATGATTCTCTAATCTTATAAAAAAGTTAATTTATTGGCAACCCTGCAATATTTGTTAATAAAATTCTAGGGTTAAATACAGTATTATCAAAGCATTCTAAAACTGAAGTAAAAAACAAAGTTTTCTATTTAAAAAAATATACCTTTTTATTTGTCAGGCAATAACGCAAAACCCTGTATGTCTAAAAATATATTTTTAATAGCTATTTTTAAAATTCATATAACTTTATTTAGAAATTGTTTACGTGTCTATAACACAATTTTAAATATTGAACAATTACTCACTAATGGGACAACCTGAATATATTATTCAAAATATATGCACGGGGCACATGTTTGTAATAATATAATCCGCGCCGCGTTTATATATGTTATTCATGCTTTTGTTAGATATTGTAGTTTACCTAAGTATTTACTTAAACTACTTTACTCTTAAAATGTAAAAACAGACTTAAATTTTTAGAAAAACTACCTCGGTTCAGCAGACCCGATCACAACATTTGCTTCGGCAGTCAACGTGTTTTAAATGCTTTTTTATTCATTTGTTGTTTAATTTGTATTTAGTTATTAATATTTCAAAAATGCTTATTTTTCTTATTGATTAATCTAAAATACACAAGTAATTTTTATTAATAATTGAAAATAGTACTACAATTCTGAATTGATAAAAAAAGTGAAAATATGAAAACATAAATAACGACTCTACAAATAAGGTAAAATTTTATGATTAATTTCTTTTTTCTTACAAAAACATTATCCCAGCAATATGTCATAAGTTGCATACACACAGTATGTCTATGTAAGTTGACAGCATATAGAAAACTTTATTATTCATTTTACGAAAAAAAGTTATTTATTCTTCATAAAAATTTATGCATGGTCTAACAGAAAATGCAACCACCACCCGATATCAAATTTTATCAGTCGGTTTTACAAGGTTTGTCAAAAAATATGACTTTGCTCAAGATAAAATACCTTTATTTTCGACAAACACTGTATACGACTGATAAAATTTGACATCAGATGATTAAATTTTAGGTTTTAGACTATGCATAACTTTTCATAGAAAGTAATTTTTTTTTTTAAATTAATAGACCATGCAATTGTTTATGAAAAATAGGTTTGTTTCCTAAAATTCCTAAAAAAAAGTTTTCCGTATGCAGCCAACTTACATATAAATGAGATTAAATTTTTTGAAAATAATTTTTACTGATCTAAATCTAAATAAAGTAGTGGGTAAATAAAGTAATAAAAACACTTCTTCATTACATTTTTATTTTTATTAATTTGGTTCTTTGGCTGTAAGACCTTTCGGTATATACAGGGTATTCCATTTAGAATGGAAGCAACTGAAGATTAACTGATTAAAAATAAGCCGATTAAACGAAACATTACTCGTTTCCAAAAAACAGGGTTTTAAAGTTGAAAATCAAAAATTATAAATAGCTACATTTTTTTTTATTACTCAGTTTAATTTTACTAAATTCGGCAAACGTTATTAATGTTATAAAATACACGTATCTGGAAAAACATATATTAAATAAGCTTTACCAGTGGCGTACGTCATGTGCAAGTAACATATTTTCCCCTTCTAAATCTTAATTTACGGTCCAAAAACTTTTGATGTTTTTCAAATAAAGTTGAGTTAGTTTTTGAGATATTCGCACATATTTGAAAATTCTGAAATTTTGATTTTGTTTTTTTTTTTTTAATAAATTTCTAGAAAAATTACATTATTTATTTAAAAAACATCAAAAATTTAAAATTTTATGTCCAAATAACTATTTGGATATTGACGTAAAATTTAGGAGGGATGCGGTATTACGTACCAATGCTGTACGCCTTTGGAAAAGTTAATTAAGGTAACTACTTTTTTTGCTGATAGGTGGATATTATAACATCAAACGTTTGCCAAATTTAGTAAAATTGTTGTGAGTAATAAAAAAAATAGAGCCATAAATATTTTTTGGATTTTAACACCGTAATTCGGAAACGGGAAACATTTCATCCAAGCATGATTTGTTTAGTTGTCTTATTTTTATTCAGAGAATCGTCAGTTGTTCTATGTCCCATTCTTAAAGAAACACCATGTATAATATAATAGGTCCCTACGTAATGATACGAAAACCTTTGTCCTTGTTTACTGGACACAAGAATGAACTACTAAGTAAATATACTGATGTCCCGAATCTAATTCAAAACTTTTATTTAGGTACCTGCTACGTCAAAAATATTTGTCAAGGTCAAGAATTCGTTTACTTATCATCGCGCAGTGGCTAGGGGTGATGAATTTGTTATTCTATAACAGTTACCGTTTAGAATTAATAAAATTATTACGCCATCTGTTAAACAAAAGAACTATTAAATATGAAATATTTATTGCTCCATCTGTGGAACAAAAGGATTCTTAAT